ACTTTGTGCTCAAGCATCATCCAGCTCTTTGTGGATCCCTGTACTGGCCTCACAGTTCAACACTATGTCTTTGTTCCCACTTGTCCTTTGCCTGGGACATGCCTTCTGCCATTTTCACCTGGCCAGTTCCTACATGTTTTCATGATTCAGCTCAGTTGTCACTCTTGAAGGAAGCATGCCTGGTGCCTCACCTCTGTGTTTTCACAACTGCCTTAGCAATGATTATATGATATTTTAATTTCCTACTTACGTGGTCATCTTCCCTCCAAGGGACCCCCTCATCCCAACCACTCTGGTCTCCACTCTCATCTTGCACTAAGCATTAGAGATATATTCTATTCATTTTCAAACCTCAGAGTCTAGCGGTGTCTGAACAGAGTAAAAGCTCAATAAATATTGAACTACATAGGTAATCATCTGACACGTGCCTCCTATGTGCCAGCACCATGCCAGGTGCTACAAGGTAATTGCAGGGGTCATGAATTTAGGGTCAGGCAAGAACCCAAGGAGAGAGATGAAGCAGGGTTTTCCCCCATGATTCAGCTCGTGTGTTTTTAGCCTCAGCCAGCAGATGTTGATACTTGCTCCTGCAGAGCTCATGGACCATGTTTATTTTAATGCATTAAAAAGATGCAGACATAGAGAGTGGACTTGAGGTCACAGGGAGGGGGAAGGGGAGGCTGGGACGAAGGGAGAGAGTAGCATGGACATATATACACTACCAAATGTAAATCAGATAGCTAGTGGGAAGCAGCTGCATCGCACAGGGAGATCAGCTCGGTGCTTTGTGACCACCTAGAGGGGTGGGATAGGGAGAGTGGGAGGGAGACGCAAGAGGGAGGGGATATGGAAACATATATATATGTATAACTGATTCACTTTGTTATACAGCAGAAACTAACAACATTGTAAAGTAATTATACTCCAATAAAGATGCTAAAACAAAATTAAAAAAAGAAACCTCCAGGGAGAGAGAGAGAGAGAGAGAGAGAGAGAGAGAGAGAGAGAGAGAGAGAGAGAGAGAGAGAGAGAGAGAGAGAGAGAGAGAGAGAGAGAGAGAGAGGGAGTCGGACTCTGAAGAGTCAGGTAAAAGCACTGTTATGTGCCAGGGCCCTGATCTGGACCAAGAGTGAGAAAAATGGGCCCTGCCCACAAGGAGCACACAAACAAGAAGGGGAGGGGAGAGTGAGGATGAACTGGAATCTTAGCAAACAAACGATATACGTGACATTAGTGCAAACGTGTGTGTGCCTTACAGCAGTACTGCAGGGAAGGGACTGATTACTTCTCTCTGAGGAGGGGAATTAGGAAGGCTTCTTACAGGAGGGGACATTTGATGGTTAGTAGAAGTTTGCCAGATCATTAAGTTGGGGTGAATGAATTAAATGAGCAAAGGCAAAGAGGCCTGAAACAGCATGGTGCATTTTGGAAACTGTAAATTCTTTGGGATCCATGTGATTGTTATATGCCTGTTTGACTGTGCCTCTCCCACTGGGGAATCCCTGAGGGTAGTGGCTAGGTCTCTGTCACTGCTCCAGCCCTAGTGGTTAGCAAACGGCCAGCACGCTGGGGACTCAGCAAGCCTCTGCTGAGTGAGTGCAGTGTGCTAGAACGAAATGAACCTGAAAGGCCAGGCAGGACCTCTGAGCACCGTTTCTGCACCAGGCACCTTGAAAGGTGCTAGGGGTGTCGAACCAGGTCAGGCACTGGAAACGGCTGGCCCATTAAGGAAAACCAGTGCAGTGCAGAGTGTCAGCAGCTGATTCGTGCTTTTTCTTTTGACGATAAAACTCACCTAAGTCCTTGACGGAGAAAACTCTTCCAAGGCTGAAAGTACAGAGAAAACCGGTCATTTTCAGAAACCTACCCAAGTCAAACCCCAACCAGGCCTCTGTTGTTTGGTTACAGATCATTAGAGACCTGACCGGCCAGTGAGGTCTCAGTACAGAGCAAAGGTAGACGCTGACGACAGAACATTCCATGAACTGCTGCCAGTGTAACTGAAGATCAATCGAAAAGAAAACAGGCGTTTCTGAAGTTACGGTGCGTGCCAGCGGGAACGTGTAATTTGACTTAGAAAAATAAACTGTTCTCTGCACACCTTTCCAGGAATGCATCTGTAGAATAAAGAACTTTTAAATCTTATGAGCAAACAGGAATGTGCGATATTTGAGCAATGTTCCAGTGGGCAAAATTGGTACAGGCAAGTGTGCAAGCCATGCTGGGAATTCCCCGTTCTTGATCACGTACCGCCTGATCAAAATTCAGCTCTCACGTTATCTAGACTTGGTGCCATTAAAATTACGCCCCAATGACCATAACATAGCTCCTCATTTAGTCAGTTGTCACATATCTGATGCCATTCCCTATCTGGATTCTAGCCAAGAACCTGAAGCGAACAGAAAATATCTAAGCATCCAAAGTGCTGCCACAAAGTCCAGGCCCAAGAGCTCATATACCCTCCTTTGAGGAGAGCCTCACAGCTTTCATTCGGGGATGACTGGCTCTCATTTTCCATATAATCCTAGCAGATTGGATGGCAGCCCTGGTAGAAAGACAAGTCAGACAGACCTTGCTTTGTATCTTTGCTATATTATTTATAGGTTATTTAACCTCTCTGAGCCTTGAGTTCTCGTCTGTAAAATGCAAGCAGGGATACCAGCTCACAGGGTGACTGGGACACACACACACAGGCACAGGTGTCTGTCCCCAAACAGGGATTTGGTGTGTGCTTGGCCACATGAAAGACTCACTGCTGGACACAAGAGGCTGACAGGAGAAGGAAATAATAATTGATAGAGATAAGAAAACAACTACAGCAAACAGACCGTAGTGGTTTGGTGTGAGGGCAACTGGCTCTGAACACCTATGAGGGCCCAAGAGCATCTCATAAGAAAAGCATGAACAGTGCCCATTCAGCCCCTTATGTTCCAGGGGACTCCAAGTCATAAAGAAAGGGTGAAATCAGATTCCAGCCACCGAGCTCAAAAACACTGAGATGAATGTAATGCATATCTGAAGGCTGAAAGATTAAAAAAAAATACTTTCATGCTTTTTATTTTGAACGAGATAAAATTTGGTCATTTGGAAAGTTCCCTTGTGCAGAGAAGTTTATTATTTGCTGGTACTGCCAGCTAAGTGAAGCATCTTAATGAACTGTTTCTGCTTTTGTTAATAGGAATAATAATCATTTATAGTTTTCTATCTATAAAGTGTATCACAAATGAACAATCCTTTCCAGTAAGCATTAGAACCATGAAGCAGAAAGATGAAGGACCTCAACTAAATGTACCCAGTGATAAAGGAGTAGTACCTTAACTGTCCCAGTTAAAACATTAGGTAAGTGCCTACTGTGTGCCATGTGCTGTACTAGGTGCTCATCTACTTTGTCTGGCTTAGTTCTCTCAGCAATTCAGTGAAACAAGTATTGGTCCCTCACTTATTGAGCCTCTACTACTGCAGATTAGGTAACTACAAGGCATATGCTTCCTGCCCTCATGGGGAACGCACCGTTTTACAGAAGACAGCTGTAGCTCAGAGAGGTAAAATGCCTGGGATAGATCCCAGCACTTCCTATTAAACTGTTTACCTGAATTTACCTCTTTTCATTCTCACAATGACTTCTGATGGGGATGCTTCTATGACCACTATTTTACACGTGAGGAAAGGGAGGTTCAGGGTCACACAGACAGGAGCCGGGATCAAAGCCCGTGATTCTGCTTGGGCCCTAAATCAAGTTGCTAGCATTGTGCCCACCAGAAGCCCAGAAAATATGCCTTCAGGAGTCTGGTCATTCTTGTGAAAGCACAGGAGCTCTTCTCTCTGAAGGGACAGTTATTAAAGGCCAGTTGGTGCTGGCCACCCTAGATAAGGGGCCAGGAATGGATTAGGACCACCTTCTCCCATCCTAACACATTTTCTGTCTCTGATCTTATAGGGCCTCAGGCTTCAGAATCTTAGCAGCTGGAGTCTGGAAAAGCCCCCCAAATCAGGGGAAAACCCAAAACAAAGACCATTCCTCCCTCATGAGAGAAACTGCTTCAGAATCAACTCTGCACACTTGCTTTAGTTATGAAGCTGATAAGAAGAGAAGAAACAATACCTTTTGGAGTTCTTCAATTCTGACTTCATAAGTTGCTAAAATAAACATGAAAAAATTATTTCAAGGCAGTTTCTTATAGTACCCATTTCTTATACAGTATGCAGGATTAAAGCAATTACAGAAGGTGGCAGAGTTCAGTTCTCTCAACCTTCAGAACAATCTGTCTATGGGAGACCTGTCCACGTGGTTTGGGAAATTCTCAGGTCATTGATCACGGTATCATTTCTGGGGGGATTTCTAGGATGGAATGTACAGTCAATTTGTTTCAAAAACATTTGAAACAATTTTCAGTTTCCTTTTTGTTAAGCAGATTCATACTCTGTGATGAAGAGAAAGTGCTGCAATTTAGTGGTAGCAATCAGAAGGCAAACTTGAAAGGAAAGGGAAAGGAAAAAGGCCAACAAAAGTCCCAATCCCACTTCAACAAGTCAAACTCCACAGCACGCCTAAAAGTGTTTGGCTCTATGAGCGTTTTGTTTCCTTAGTACAGCTTGGAAAGAGGAAACTGACCACCAACTAAGGCTCGAATACCTTTTGATTTTTTCCAAAGGTTTCGTGGATTTTATTTAATGACGATGCCAAATTTAACCATTAACAAATACAAGTAGGAGCAAGAACTTGGGTTCACAGCCTAGTCCTGCCACTTCCTACCTGTGGAACTGCAGACAAATTACTTCATTTCTTCAAACCTCAGATTGCTCATCTGTGAAATGGGGACAACTGGAACCTGCCTTCCAGAGTTCATGGGGAAATTAAAGGAGATGATGTAGGTCACGTATACCTAGCAGAACACCAGACGTTGTATAGAAAGTGACATGTTTTTTGATAAAATTGCTAATTTAATTTTTCTTTGCTTAGAAGTTATCTATAAAAGTTTTCCCCCTACTGTTAATGAATATGCATGCATAATAAACAGGACTTCCCCAGTTCCTTTTCTCTTTCTTGCTGCTAGAGTCCTAAAGCTTTAGCTTACAGAACTGACCAAACAATAACATGCATTTCTTAGCCATTATTATTCTACACATAAAATCCATTAATAAAGTAAATGAAATCACAGTTTTTCTTTAGGGACTATGTGCATGTGATTGTTGACACAGGGACCTAAAATTCTGTGTGGAGGATTAATAACGTGTACTTCAGCTTCGGTAACTCTACACTCTTATTTTCACCAGTTTTTGAATCAACACATTTTATTCTGCTACTATGTGCTTTAAAAACATTTAAGAATACCTGTTTATAATGCAGTCTGCCTCATCCTTTCCAAACATAAATTTATTTTCCAATTTTAAAAATGATAATCTCCTTCTCTCTCCCTTCCCCTACTTATTTACTGTTCTGTGTTTTTGAAAGAATTACCAAATCGTGATCTCTTTGCTTATACCTGCCACCTGGTGGGGAGGGAGATAAAATTCTGTCCTAGAAATGGGAAAACCAAGGCTCAGAGAGGACTTATTCAATACTTGCTAAGGCTAGTAAACAAAGATAATCCACACACAATTAGTAATGCATTCATAATTTGATGCTGTTTTTTAGCCAAGTGGAGGTTCTCCCAATAGTAAGTATTGCCATCAAAACCTGCTCCCAACATAGGAATATAAAGTACAACTATCACATCCTAGGGGGTCAGGAAAGGACTAGGAATTATAATATAACAGGAGGATGTAACCCAAAGCATTAGAGCCCTCACTTACTTTCCACAGGGAGTTATATAACGCTTTCCACTGAATAGCTTTGTCCCAGCTGGGAGAAAAAGAACAAATATCAGAAGATGGTCCTCAGCAACCCTCCAACTGCAGTATCACATCATGGTCATGTCCTCCAGGCCTCAGCTCTTTTTCCATTTACTAACTCCCTGTGTGACTTTGGAAAAGTCCCTTCACCTGTTTTATACCAGGAGGTGAGACAATTATTACTAATATTATAAAGACAATAATAAAAAATAGCTAACTATTTTTATGAAAATCATGATTCTGATTTACCGATGAGGAATAGACACAGGAGAAAGGAAGCAACTTGCCCAGCTTCGCTCCATAGGAAATGGCTTTCAAACTATTTTCTAGCCATGGAATCATTCATTTAAATGCAATATTACAGGAGCGTAAACAGAACTTCTCTGGAAGTTATCCCCAACGGTCTCCAGGACCCCTTAGGACAGCCCTTGGTCCTAGGAAGCACAGTCTGAAAGGCACTGGTCTAGATGAGCTCTGAGGACAATTCTACAGAGCTTCCAGACAAACCTAAATCCTGCTTACACATCACCAAGTTCTGTACGAAAAGGTGAAGCTTCAGAAAGGCACCTATGCCGAGCTATGCACCTCTGAGGTGATGGCCTTCTGATTTCTGGGCATTGTTTAAGGGACAGACTCACCCAAAAGTGATGTCAGAGCCTCTTTCTCCTTCCCTTCCTTTCCCCCTCATTCTCTTTGTCCCAGAAAGGTAGCATTTAGATTCCTCACCATTGGCAGGCAGAGGAAGGAAGAAACCCATTTTAAGCTAATTTTTTAATAAGATGTGAGACTTACATTGAGGTTCATTTATTTTTTTTTACCTACGGATATCCAATTGCTCCAACAGCATTTGTTAAAAGGCTATCTTTCCTCCATTGAATTGCTTTACAGTTTTGTAAAAAAAAAAAAAAAATTCAGTTGGGCATATTAGTGTAGGTCTTATTTCTGGGTTCTCAATTTTGTTCTATGGTTCTATGTGTTTCTCTCTGCCAATACCACACAGTTTTGGTTACAGAAGCTATAATTCTTAAAATCAGGTAGTCTGATACCTCCCACTTTTACTTCTCCAAAGTTGTTTTAAGCTATTCTAGTTTCTTTGCCTTTCCACGCACATTTTAGGATAATATTGTCTATATCTATAAAAGAATCTTGCTGGGATTTTACTAGAAATTGCATTAGACCTGTATATCAACTTGGGGAGAATTAATATTTTTACTATATTCAGTCTGCCAATCCATAAATGTAGCATACATGTTTCTCCATTTATTTAGATTTTCTTTGATTTCACCAGCATTTTGTAGTTTTTAACATTTAACTCTTATACCTGTTTTGTTAGATTTTAGTCTAAGCATTTATCTTTTTGGAGTGATTGTAAATGGTATTACATTTTTTTCATTTTTAGTGTTCAAGTGTTCATTGGTAGTATATAGAAACACAATTGATTTTTTAATGTTTATTTTGTATACTGTGACCTTGCTGAACTCATTTATCAGTTCTAGAAGGTTTTCTTTTTTTTTTTTTTGTAACTTCCTTGAGATACCCTACTTAGACAATCATGTCATCTGCAAATAATGACTGTCTGTTTCTTTCTTTTTGATCTGTATTCCTTTTCTTGCCTTATTGCACTCACTAGAACTTCCAGCACTACATTGAATAGGAGTGGTGAAAGTGGACATCCTTGCCTGGTTCCCAATCTTAGGGGTAAAGTATTCAGAGTTGTATCATTAAGTATCATGCAGACTTTTTGTAAATGTTCTTATCTAGTTTAGGAAGTTCCCCTCTATTCTTATTTCTCTGAGATTTTTTTTGATCATGAATTGGTGCTGAATTTGTCAAACACTTTTCCTGCATTGATTGATATGGTTGTGTGATTTTTTTCTTCTTTAGCTTATCAATATGGCAGATTTAATTGATTGATTTTTGAGTATTGAACCAACTTTACAATGAATAAACCACACTTAGTCGTGGTATATAATTATTTTTCTGTCTTGATGAAATCTATTTGCTAATATTTTGTTAAGGATTTTTATGACTATACTCATGAAGGATATTGATCTGCAGTTTTCTTCTGTTGTACTGATACCTGGGTTTGGTATCAGGTTAATGCTAGCTTCCACTTCTATTTTTCAGAAGAGATTGTGTAGAATTGGTATTAATTCTTCTTTAAACATTTGGTAGAATTCTCCACCGAAATTACCTAGACTGAGATCACTTTTTTATGTTTTCAAATTATGCATTCACTTTTCTTAATAATTACAGGGCTATTCAAATGATTTATATTGGGTGAGTTGTGGTTTTTGGGGAATTGTTCAATATTTATCTAAGCTGTCAAAATTTACATGTATACAGTTGTGCATAATATTCACTTATCCTTTTGACATCTGCAGGGTTTGTAATGATAACTCTGTTTTGCTCTTAATATTGTTAATTGGTGTCTTCTTTGTTTCTTTGTCAGTCTCACTAGAGGTTTGCTAATTGTATTGCTCTTTCCAAAGAACACACTTTTGATTTCATTTTCTCTATTGTTTTTCTGTTTTAAGTTTCTTTTTTTTTTTTTTTTTTTTGCGGCTTTATTGGGGTATAATTGCTTTTCAAGCATCTTTTCTGACCACAACGATATGAAACTAGAAATCAGTTACAAAAAAGAAAACTGGAACAAACAGAAACATGTGGAGGCTAAACAAAATGCTACTAAACAACCACTGTTGTGGCCTCTCCCTTTGCGGAGCACAGGCTCCGGACACGCAGGCTCAGCGGCCATGGCTCACGGGCCCAGCCGCTCCACGGCATGTAGGATCTTCCCAGACCGGGGAACGAACCAGTGTCCCCTGCATCGGCAGGCAGACTCCCAACCACTGCGCCACCAGGGAAGCCCTATTTAAGTTTCTTTATTGCTTCTTCCTTTATACTTGCTTTGGATTTATTTTGCTCCTCTTTTACTATGTTCTTGTGGTAGGATTTTAGATTTGAGGCTTTTCCTATTTTTCATATAAGAATTTAGGGCTCAAATTTCCCTCTCAGCATTGCTTTAGCTGTGTTCCACAATTTTGGGGATGTTGTATTTTCATTTTCATTTAGTTCAAATGTACGTTTTGATTTCCCTTGAGACTTAACTTTTTGATCCACATTTAGAAGTGTTGTTTTGTTTCTGAGTGTTTAGAGAATTTACTGTTACCTTTCAGTTCTTGATTTCTAGTTTGATTATATTGTGGTCTGAAAACATAGTCTGCATAATTTCAATTCTTTTAAATTTTTTAAGGTTTGTTTTATGGCCCAGAATATGGTCTATCTTGGAATATGTTTATGGGCTCTTGAAAAGTATGTGTATTCTGCTCTTGTGTGTTCTATTGATGTCCATTAGATCCTACTGGTTGATAGTGTTGTTGAATTCTACTGTATTCTTACTGATTATCTGTCTAGGTGTTTTGTCAGCTGTGGAGAGAGGAATATTAAAGTCTCAAACTATAATAGTCTATTTCTTTTTTCAGTTTTTGCTTCACATATATTGCAGCTCTGGAATTTCATGCGTATACATTTAGGATTGCTAAGTCTTGTTATTGCTCCCAACACAGCCTTTGCTGATACCACAGGGAGAGGGTGGATGCCTTTACTACTGAGTGTTTGTGAAAGTCCTGACTCTCCACGAGGTCTGCTCTGACACCAACCCAACAGGGAGGGGAAGGGATGCCTTGTTATTTCTGGGTGGAGGGCTGGAGTCCATGCTCCCCATATGGTCTTCACTGGCTATCACTGTAAGTGGAGCTTTGTTACCCTGGCAGGGATGAAAGTCCCAGCTCTCTACTTGGCCTTCTCTGAAAACACTTCAGTGGAGGGGTTGGGGTGCATCACTGTAGCTTGATGAGGGTGGATGTCCAGGCTCCCCACTCAGCATTGGCTGGTGGTGGTGGGCCCAGTTTTGTTTTGTTTTGTTTTCTGTTACATTTAGCTGGGGGAGAACAGTTGTTGTCTAGAGGCTTTCTGTCTTTCTGTCTTTCTAGGCTCCCCTTTTCCTGGTCCTTTGGTCAGAAAGAGCAGGCTTCTGTTGGAGCTGTTTTGTCTGTGCCCATTGGTGTTTCTGGGTTGGCAGCTACTTCAGCTCCAAGTCTGGGATATATGAAGCGAGAAGAAAACCCAAGGAACTCACCACTTATCCTCGTTGGGTCCAGAGGTGCCTAACTGGTCTACCTTCTTCTTTCTACCTTTTCAGAGTGTTCTAGTTTTCTTATGTCTGAATATAAAAAATGCTATATATATGTATATATGTGTACATATATATATATGTATATATGTGTACATATACACATACACACACATATATATAGTGTGTATATATAGTGTATATATATGTATACACTATATATATATATATATATATATATATATATATATTACTTTTATATAGACTATCCAGGGGTTTTAGTTGTACTTAGCAGGGGGACCAGGGAAAAGTACACCTGCTCCATCATCTCAGAGCAGAGTTTGCTTGACTTTAAATGTATTACCTTCTCAAACATACAGAACAATTACACAAAGGAGACATTATACCAATTTGGTAGATGAAGAAACCGAGGTTCATATATCATTCAACCAGTAAGTGTAAAGAGGATGAAATACATGGGAACAGTCAAACGAACAGGGACAAGTGGGGCTCAAATAGTCCACTTCCTTCCCTTTTTCTCCTGTAGGGTAATTGTATCTTGGCTCTTTAGAGAGGGACAGAGAAAGGAGTGGGGGATATAACAGAATCTTTTTGATCCCAGGCTGCAGTTCCCCAGCTTCTTCAGCCCTAGCAGCCCTCTTCCTGACTCCCACAAGATGCCATTCTGGCCTGGGAAGCTCTCCCCACCCTCACCCTTCTCTCACCCTACCACCGCCTTCTTATTGCCCTCTGCTCGGTTACCTCTCAGTTGCATTAGTGTGTTATTTTCTGAGCCCTTTCTCTTTTCAGTCATAAACACTTGCTTCCTTAGCAGCACAGAGGGACACAAAGAATTCCTCAGTTGAAGACTGAAGAGAGGCCTGGGTTAGTAGTTCCTTCTTTGGGTATCTCAAATGATGTCCCCCACAGGCCCACCTTGGACATCTGTGGCCTGAAGAGAACAAATGCAGGCCTCTGGTCCAGCTTCCTTCCTTCCTTCTTTTCAATCCTCAGCTTCACCCTACACACGAGGGGCCTTGCATATGTCAACCCCATCCCCTCCTGGCCCCCATGAACAGATCTCTCTGCAGCCCAATGTGTCCTGAGGAGGAAGGACCTAGGGAAGAGGCCCAAGCAGGATATTAGAAAGCCACTTGTGGGAGGGCATTCTGGGGGCCTCCTGTAATCCAGAGAGAAGGTGCAGGCTCTGACTGGAGAGACCCCTTGGCCCTGTGAGCTCTTAGCTTTGGAATGTAGTCCCAACGGGGCCCACAGCCCTTCTATTCAAAGTGTGGTCTGTGGACCAGCAGCATCAGGATCACTAGGGCACTTGTTAGAAAAGTAGAATCTCAGGCCCAACCCAGAGCTACTGAACCAGAATCGATGTTTTAACAAAATCCCCAGGTGATTCATGCAGACATTATAATTTGAGAAGCCGTGCCCTGAAGGCAAGGGCCTGGACACCCCAAGTATGGAGCAGCACTGCCTTCTGGGTTGATGGGGACAGGAGTCCTGCTTCTTATGCCTAGTACTTTACAAGCCAAATGGGAGAACCTAGAGTTTGCCCAGTCTAGGAGAGAATTTTTCCAGGAGTTCTTCAACCCCTTATTTCCCAGGAGAGGGGAGGGAAATTTCAATGGGTTCTAACTGTTACCCGTGAACTTCCTAAGCGTGTGATCCCAGGCAAATGACTTCCTCTCCCAGAGCCCTGGGCTTCTTGTCTATAAGATAAAGAGGTTGTAGCAGAGGATCTCTCTCTAACTCTCCTTTCAGGGAAGTCAACATTCTTGACTGAGAAGCAGCGTAAAATTGTGGAAAGAGCATGGATCTTAGAGGCAGTCCGAACTGTTGCACATTAGAGCCCTACCGTGTATTACTTGTGTGACCTTATGCAACTCAATCTCTCTGATCTTCAGTTTTCTGTCTCTAAAAGTGGGTTAATACAACCTCTAGATCAAAAGAGATGTACACAGAGGTCGTAACACAGAACTGTGGCCCATAGTACAGGCTCCATAAATACTAGTGTTTATTCCAGCACTAATATTTATGCCTTTTGTAGAAAACTGGCTGATCCTATAGGCAGAACAAAGACATAGAAACCTGTAGAAACGCTGAGTCCCTGCTTCTTCATCATCTTGGCTGAGGGGGTCTCTTTTTTCACTGAAAGTTCTGAGCTTTGTCGGAAGACTTAACTCTGAACGAGTGGTCAGATCCTTTTAACGAATCCTCTGCTTCTATTCAGGCTAAACAAAAGGACCTCATTCCCACAGTCTCTTATCTCCCTCTCCACACACTGAGTTACCAGGGGACTTCAAGACAGACACCACGAGAAAAGAGATGATGTTTCCATGGGAGGAGAAGGAAGAAAAATGAATCGCCATATCTTGATTTTCCCTCCCACGTATCTACAAAAGGCAAAGCATCTAAGCAGATTGGTGAAGGAGAGAATAGAAGAGGGTAGAGAGAAGGCAGCACTAGGGCTGGGAGAGAGCCCTGATGCCCAACTGGGTTTATTTATATTTTTAAGAGACTAAACAAGGAAAAAATAAAAGGAAATGTGATAGTAAAGCAACGTGGCTGTGAATTTTTAAACTTAGAGTTAGCTGGGGGGAAAATACCATTTTGGACACATTTTCATTCCATACAGGGTTACAATATTAATTGGCTTAGCAGACTTACAATCAGCAATCTCTTTTGTGGTGCACAGGTTAATGGAGTTGCTGGAGTGTCTCAGACAGGAAATTGTTGCCTCGGAATTATGTGGTTCTTCAAATTCAGCACTGAGAAGTGTGGAGGAAAGAAGTTACTTAAAGCAAAACATTTTTTAAACATATTTTCAAACTTTGGGTATTTTTTTCCTCATCATTAGAGAAGTAATATAAATAAGTCTGGTCCATATGGTGACCCAAACAGACATGGAAGGCATTCCACCTCCACTTTAAATACAGAGGAATTCTGGATGAAGTATAACGATGCAAAGAATTATAACAAGAACCTAGAAATCAATAAGGTAAAAATCCCCAGGTGCCAGACACAAAGAGGAAACTCACAATTAAAGATATCAATGAGAATTGCAGCCAAGGTATTCCATGGGAAATTGGGATCAAAGAAAGATCTCACTGATTGGGTGGCTGGGGATTTGATGGCTGGGGATTTAAGTTCAGTCTGAGCCACAGGCCTCATCTGAATGGGAAGCTGGAACTGAGCTAAAAGAATAAGGTCCAGGGTCACAAAATGCCATCCCATCTCTAAAATTAATTCTAAAAAATAACTGTGCACTCTCCCAGGGAGCAAACAGGGAAGTTTGCTATCTGACCAGGGCCACTGGAGCTCAAAGAGTCACCCACGAGAAGGCAGAAACTCTACAACCCAGCCCCGAGTAGGGGTTCTAGATGCATACGATCTGTGTATTTCTGAGACACAAAGCCAAAACTGCTACTTGAAATTCACCCCCAACCTGCCTTGTAAAGGAAGTCTGAAATCGTTCTGTAAACATGCTCCCACACCCATGGCACCTATGGTTTCCAAAGGAAACAATTCCCACTCAAAACAAGTGTATAATGAAAAACTGCAAATCACACAAGGAGATGAACCACCATAGGTAGTCAGAAGATGTAACGAATGGGAGAATTAAATATTAGAATGATATGAAAGTGACATTAAAATAAGCAATGTTTTAAGTGTTCAAAGAAATAACGTGAGGAATAAAAGCCATTAGGAAAAACAATAGAGTGTGAAAAACATATAGATTTGGGGGCAGGATAGGAGTTATGGAAATCATAAATATAATTTTTTAAATTAATTTTTACATTGAGGTAGGTATAACTGATGTACAATATTACATAAGTTTCAGGTGTACAGCACAGTGATTCACAATTTTTAAAGGTTATATTCCATTTATAGTTATGATAAAATACTGGCTATATTCCCTGTGTTGTACTATATATCCTCATAGCTTATTTATTTTATACACAGTAGTCTGTATCTCTTAATCCCCTACCCCTATCTTGCCCCTTTCCGCTTCTCTCTCTCCACTGGTGACCACTATTTTGTTCTCTATATCTGTGAATTTACTTCTTTTTTGTTATATTCACTAGTTTTATTTTTTAGATTCCACATTTAAGTGATTACATACAGTATTTGTCTTTCTCTGCCTGACTTATTTCACTTAGCATCATACCCTCCAAGTCCATCCATGTTATTGCAAATGGCAATATTTCATTAAATATAGTTTTTGAAATAAAAATGTAGAAGTTGAAAAGTAGACTAGACACAGCAGAAGAGAGAACTGGTGAGTTAGTTAGACCTGAGTAAGTCACCTAGCATGTAGCACAGAGAGATTAAGAGATGGAAAGTATTAAAAGAGAGCTCACAGTAGGGAGGATAGAATGAGAAAGTCCGATCTATATATACAAGGGATTCTAAGAGCAAAAAAGAAAGATGATGATGAAAGGGAGCCAAAATTCAAACGATAACAGCTAAGATATTAATATTGAAAAGGGAAATAAATCTATCTATTGAAGCAGCTTTAATAATAAATCCACAGGTATACAGTTTTTAATAAATCAGAATAAGTGAAAGAAAAAAAATGTAAAAGTTGTGTGAGAGAAAAGACAGATTATCTACAAAGGAATAGCAGTCACACTGGCAATGGACCTCTCATTAGCAACAACAGATGCTGGGGATTGTGGATATCTTAAGGCAATGAGCTAAGATAGCTGTCAATGTAAAATCCTCTCCAGATATACTATCATTCAAGGGCAAGAGAGAAACAAAGACGTTTTCAGAGTACAGATACGTGTACTTACGGCTCGCAGATCCTTGCTGAAAACATCAAATGAAACTGAACTAGTAATGAAATATCATATAAGAAACAATGGTGATCAAAGAAATTAATAAAGCTATTGGTAAATCTAAATAAATACTGACTGTAAAAAATAACTAATTTGTAGACGTTTGAGAATAAAATAGACTTAAAATACTAAATAATAATATGGAAGATTGTGAAAGAGGGCTATGGGAGCTATACTCAGGTATCATTTAGGAGCAGGATAGAGATTTTGATTATCATTAGACTTGGTTAATTGTGGATGCCTTTAATTGTAATCACTAAAAAGAAGAGAAATAGAATATTTAACTTCTCAACTGGTAGAAGGAAAACATTCAATGAGAAAGCTTAAATATTAAACAAGAAGGCAGAAAAGGAAAAAAAATGCATGTAAGGGAATTGCACAGTAAATTTAAAACATGAAATATGATGGGAAAAAGTCCAAATCGATCAAGAATCACAATAAATGTACATAGATTAGTCTACTCCAATAAAAATGGAGAGTATCTGACAGGACGTTGTAAAAATCTCGCTAATGCAGCTCAAAACCACCAGGCAAACCAAAGCTCCCATATCAATGTATGGAGAAAGAGATGCAAAACAAACTATCCAAAAGAAAGCTTAGGAAGGTATATTAATATTAGACCATACTTTAGCATGACTGATCAAGGAAATGAGAGAAGTTACACACACGTGCATGCGTACACACATATACGTAAATCACAGATACGAAAGGGGACAAAACTAAAGTTAGTTTTAGATTTTCAGAAATCTAAGAAAATGTTAAGATCAGCTCTCTGCCAATAAATTTGAAAATTCAGGGAAATTTGGCAAATTGATAGGGAAATATAAAATTACCACAGTGACTGAGAAGAACTAGAAAGACTGATAGGCCAATAAACCATCAAAGGGCTTGAATCAATTGTACACACACCCGTCTCCACACCTGGGTCAACCCTCTCCTTTTCGTCTGCTAAGTAGTTTTATGAGCAAGTTTTAGCAAAGTTTCAGGGGACAGAAAAACAGAAAAGCTACCCTACTCATTTTCAGAGGATAGTGTAATTTTGTTATGAAAACCACAAAATGACCAAACAATAAAGTAAAAATAAAGCTCAATTTCACTTAAGAAATTTTAGCCCAAACTCACTAAATACTAAATAAATGAATTAATCAGTATTAAAATTAACTCAAGAATAACTAAAATTTATTCCAAGACTTCAATGATGGCTCAACATCAGAAAATCTATCTGATGCAAATTATTGCAATTAATCACACTGAAACAGTAAGAGAGGAAAAAAACACAAATTATTTTAATAGATGCAAAAAAGCATTTCACATAGACAACTCTCTTAACTAGATTAAATACTAACAAATATCACACTTAATGGCAAAGTGTAATAAACTTCAGCTGATATCTAAACTCTGTTGGGAACTCCTGAAATAGGAAAAAAAACAAATCCATAGAAAATTGGACAAAAGGATATGATAGACATCACAGAAGAGAAAAAAGGAATAGTTTATAGAAGTAAATATGCAACCTTATAGTCAACCGGGAAATGGAGTGGAGACAATGAGAATTTGGTTCATATCCAACAATTCAGCAAGAATCCCCAAACTGGAAAATAACATCACATTTGGCAAGAACATGGAGAAACAGAAACTCTTTACACTGGTTTGAGAGTATGAATTGACACAGCCATTTGGGGAGACAATTTTTCAATAACTAGTAAAACTGAAGTTCCGTATTTACTATTGTTTAGCAATTCTACTTTAAGTAAATAACCTAGTGAAACTTGCTTACATTCACCTGGAAATACATGAGGATTACCATTGCAGTATCATTTGAAAAGGTGAAAATATAAAACAATCTAAATATCCCTCAGTAAGAAAATACACAAATTGTGATACATTCATATGATGAAACATATACAATATGCAATTATAATGAATAAACTAGACGTAGATGCATCATCAGAGATAGAATATGCAAACAGCTTTGAAAAAATTCAAGTTTCAGAAGGATAAAATGAGATGCTGTTTATACAAAACTATAAAATACTGCATCTTTAACAGATATCTGAGTTTGTAGCTGAAGAATAAGAAATACCCTAAACGGATTCACTCCAACATTCACAGTTGGAGTTGCCTCCAACTGGGAAGAAAGAATGAGAAATGGGACTAGGGAATGAAACAAAGGGGACTTCAACTGTATCCACAGCAAATGAAAAATCACTTCACCCCAACTGTGGATAGGAGAGAGAGAGAAAAAAATCACCCATAATTCTCCCACCTTCACACTAGTGAGCTCTTTGCATTTTGGTATTCTTCCTGATTTTCCCCATATTCTTATAGTTGTTATAGACAATGAAAAGGTTGGAGTTCTCTCTTTACTTTTTTCCCTCTATTTATTTTATAAGCATATTCCACCAACTGTTTTCCCATCTATGTTTGACCACTTTGAATATTTCAGGGTTTTTTTTCACAATTTCTAATATTTTAAAAGATGTATATGAGTAGTTCATTTTGCTGAAGAGGAAAAATAAGAACTCTGATGCACCAGTAATTTTCTCCCCTCATCATTTTGTTCCCCTCCCCCTCCATGAAATAATCCAGAGGAACGTTCTTAAATTATAGACTATGCCATATATCTTATGCTCCAATGGCCTAACAATCTCAATGTGACTACGGTAAATTAACTTTATTAATAAGAAACAATTTGCGGAAATATTGAAAGAAGACGTGTAATCAATTTCTTGGACTATTTTTGTCAGAAATGAATAAATATCTGACTTCAGATGATCTGAAAGAATTTCAAGAGAATGTAAAAAAAAAGTCATCTTTCAGATCAATTGTCTTTGTAGAGACACAGTCCCAGGATTAATGTTGAAAGGGAAAAAAGATATTGTACATGTATTTAAACTTCCCTTTTTGTTACCTGAGGATGTCTTTTA